CTTACATGAAAAATCATAAATTGTTTTAAATCATAAATTAATTATTATAATAATTGTTTCTCTCTTATTCTTTGTCAAATATTAATTCTTGAATTCCTGCATTAATTGTTACGTGCTATTTGAATTATGTGTTTTAATTATTATTTGACATTTAGCATATTAAATATTAAACTGCCTATTTTCTCCCTGATTTCCATAATAATTTACTAATTGTCATTGGTTGTTTCATGATTAAATCATAATTATTGTATGCTTGTTGTCTTATAATTTTATATTAATTGTTACATTTATTGGGAAAATTTATTCTATAAGAATTGGTAAATGAATATGTTGGAGGAGCGGGTTGCACGTCGCAACAGAAATGAATATATTGGAGGATCAGGTTGCACGCCGCAACAGACTTATTAAAAGTTCATATTGGAGGATCGGGTTACACGCCGCAACAGACTTATTAAAAGTCCATATTGGAGGATCGGGTTGCACGCCGCAATAGACTTATTCAAAAGTCGACATACATATATATATATATATATATATATATTGGGGGTTCGGGTTGCACGCCGCAACAGACTTGATTAAAATGAATATATTATGAGAGCGGGTTGCACGCTGCAACAGAATCGAATGTGAATATATATTGTAAGAGCGGGTTGCACGCTGCAACAGAATTAAATGTGAATATATTGTGAGAGCGGGTTGCACGCTGCAACAGAATTGATGGAAATGATAATTGGTTATGATTGCTGAGTTGGCTTCAATTATTATAAATGAGTTACCTGAATTATTTCTATTATTGTTGTTGTTACTAATATTGCATACAGGTTAATGTAAGTGACCCGCCTTAGCCTCGTCACTACTTCGTCGATGTTAGGCTCAGCACTTACCAGTACATGGGGTCGGTTGCACTGATACTACACTCTGCACTTCTTATGCAGATTTTGGAATTGGTCCCAGCGGCGTACCGTAGACTTGCTCGGATTTCAGCTACCAAAGGAGACTTAAGGTATAACTGCATGGCGTCCGCAGTTCTGAAGTCCCCGTCTATTTTTACTTTAGCTGTGTGTTTATTTCCAGACAGCTTTATTCTATTCAGACCTTTATTTGTATTTATTCTAGAAGTTCGGACACTTGTGACACCAATTCTGGGATGGTATTTAGACACCGTTGCATTTATGGATTATTTCACTAGATTTCAAACTTTGCTTCCGCTTTTGTTTCCTTGATTATTAATAATGTAAAGATTGTCTAAAAATTGGTTAATATTATTCTAACGTTGGCTTGCCTAGCAAGTGAAATGTTAGGCGCCATCACGGTCCGAAAGTGGTAAATTCGGGTCGTGACAATTACATTAATAGAATACTTGAATTAAAAATGATATCGTCTTAACCTACAAAGATGATTAATTTAATTAAGTTAAGTAATATCCTATTTATAGTGTATAAATATTCAGTGTGGTAGTATCATATCTAAGACTTCTTTATAGAGGTCGATTTTGGTATCATATTTTCTTCTATAACTTTGGCTTCTCCATCTCAAAAGTGAAACATACAGTTGTCCATCTTTGAATCACCTCTAAAAAGTATTACTTTTAACTATTGTACTTTGACTTATTTGTGCGGGTTGTCTCAATTATTTATAAAGTTATGTCAAATTAAAATTATGTCGGATATAACCCAAGTAAAATTATACTACTTTATCATATTCAAAGCAATAAAATATTAATTATACACGTGTTTTGATAAATCAAGTCCATGATTAATTAAGATTTTATATATATATATAACTGCTCCCAAAAATAATAGCAGATANTTTTTTTTGTATATATGTGTATTATATATATAGTATATATTTTTTATATATATCTTTAGCTAGCTAATACCTTATATTATGCAATCATCCTGTTTGTTTGGAAAGTTCAAGTTGATTTTCACATTTTATATGAATATCGTAATGTATTTTTGCTTATGTTACAGAGTCGGTCCAATCATTGTGTTCCACTTACTTTAGATTATTTTTAACCAATCATAACACATAATACATTAATAATATTATTCTAAAGTATTTTGCTTTTTATTTGAATATAAATCGATGGAAATCTTTAATTGGAGACAATTGAGCATCTAATGAAAATAAATCAATCAAAAGAAAATATTTATTAAACTTCGATATATAGGAGACTTTGACGAACTTGTTCTAGGAAACCTAATTTAACATCAATCGATTTTCTTTGAGAAATTTGTAAAGCAATCAATTACTCATACTGAAGTAAAAATAAATAAATTAAAGAGCGCAATCTCATCTGTATTATTAGAACCACTTTATTATCATGTAAAAGAAACATATTCATATAAAATTGTCCCTATTTTTTTAATCCTTTAAAATTAGATTTTATATTTTAAAAAATTACTATTTAATTGTTTTCTTATTATTTAATATTTTAAAAATTAACTCAATTTATTTGAAATATGTAGTAACTCCTAATATTTAGGTAAAAGATACTAACTTAACTTAGTTTTAGCTTTATATGAACTAAATACAAATTAAGACTTTAAAGGATAGTAAGAATTTTCAACTTTGTTTAAAATGCTATTGATGTGTTTAGAACAATAGTACTAAATCTTCTTTTAGTACTGCCTTTTCTTCTAGTATATTCCTTGTTATAAAAGAATTGTAATTAGGAACAACAATTCTTTGAAAGAAAATTATGCACGTACTTTTCTAATTCAAGTAAGATCAACATTGTAGGATCGGGCATATGTATAGTTTAAATCGAAAAAGAATTTCATCATTAGGTAATTTACCATTAGATCCTTAAATTATACAAATATTTAAGGGCATAAAAATCGATCAATATTTTAGGGATATTTTAGTCGTTCAATATTTAGTATAAATTATTCGTGCTTTTATAATAATATTGATAGATATAGATTTGTCCTAAATAAATATATTTCAAAATAATTATAATACATTGCCACACTTTGGATTTCATATAAAATACCTGTTAAGAACAAAATAAAGGCATACACTTTGCAGACACTCGAATTTCATTTTAAAATTCTATCCAAACCCACGTCAAATATGCCCCAAATCATTCTAAATATGAGATATAAGTTCCCCAAGATGTTCTCAAACTTTTAGAACCACCTAGTCTGAAATTATTTTAATTTTCCAAACCCAAGTTTCAACTTTGAAGCTTCAAGTTTTTATGAGTGGTAGAATTCGAGATTGAATTGATTCAAGAAAAGTTTCACTCAGCAAGGATTTATGTTGCTATTTCGTTGCAATTCGAGATTGACGGTTGTAATTTTTACAGCTTCACAGATTTGAGTCTGTGTTTTTCTTCTTCTTCGTATCTTATCTATATTATTTCATTGCATGAGAGCGAATACAATTGATATGATTTTTCCATAAAAAATGTATTCATTGATACATCCATTATGTGCGAACAAATACAGTTAATACAACTTTTCCATCAAATTGTATTCATTGATGCAATCACTATGCGCGACGGAATACCGTTCAAACATCTTTTTCATCAAAACTGTATTCGTTGATACAACCTAGCAACGATTGATACAGTGATCATCTGTATACAGCGAAATTGATACATTAACTACAAACGGTAATTAAGTAAAGTATAATTACTTATAATAATTAGGCTCTAAACTATAGTGCTTTACGAAAGTTCCACAAAAATTAATTATGCCTTACTCCTAAGTTTGTTGGCCTGTGCTATATGAAAAATCCTACCTGTCCTGCTCTATTGAGGTCTACCGTGCTTTCATACAATTTATGCTTCACAAGCTCATATAGGTGGGATTCGAGAATTACCCATCACATAGAAAATAAATAATACTATAGTAATTTTACTATATCATCCATAATTATTACTATTACTAGTCTTAGGGTACGCGTTTTGCGCGTGTACCCATATTAATGAGTATAAATAATTTTCAAAATTATGTAAATATTATTAGATAGTTATATAAAATTATAAAATAAAAGTTAAAGAATTTTTTGAAAATAATAGATATTTTTATATTTAGCTAGCTCAATAGATGAAGAAATCATGTCCAATTGAAGTTTTCAAATATATTATTGTGATCTATGAGAACTTATGTGGAAATATTATATGAAATTATTGTTATTTATGTGACTAATACTAAAACAAAATACGAAAATATGTTTTTCATGATATCATAAATTGAAAATTGAATCTTTTGGTCTTCTAGAATTTGAGAATGAAAAGATTGGCTCTGGACTTCCTAGATATTAATAATAAAAATGTATAATTCTAAAGACCGACTAATGTTGAATTAATATTTTGCGACAAATAACATAATATATGAAGAATATAGGGATTGTCCTTCGTCGGAATAAACTCAAAAAGAAAGAATAATAATAATAATAAAGGACAACTCATTTAGAATACATATTTTAAAATAAAAAATAATTAATGACAATTCATTAAGAATACATTTGTACTTAGAATTAAAGAACGTAAAATTTTGAATTTCACTTAAATATTATTAAAAATATATTTTGAGTTACAAAATTTTAGAGTCTTACTTAGTTCGGTAAGGAAAGATGTAGTTGATTTTATTGTCCTAGATTTAAATTACAATTTTGTTCAAAATAATATTTATTTTTAAAGGATAAAAAAGCGAACAATATTTCGGTAAGAATTTTCGTACTTTTAATATAGTATAGATAAATGTTTGAAAATAATAAAGGTAAAATATGTATAAAATAGGAATTATTTATTAATTTTTCAAAATGGACAAGTAAAAGTGTAGAAATAAACTTGAACCGAGGAAGTAATAAATATTTTGGTAATTAAGTACATATAAGTTTTTAGTAAGGGATAGATTAATTTGATGTTTTAAGTATTCAGAAATTACACCATACTACGACAATAATAGTAACTGTTACTGTATTTCTATTTAAAAGGTTAATTAAGTTCATTGCAAGAGATCGGGAGGAACCTTCCAGAAGCTCAAAACTGTCCTGGTGAGTCGTGATACTATATATTGACCCTTGTATCAACTGGAGGTTGGAGCTGCCTTTTCCCCGCCACTGTTTATCGCCTGCAAAATAAGAGCCTTAGTTTAGGGGTCCAATTCACGTCCATGGGTGGAGGCAACGGTCAGAAAGCGAAGATGGCTCGCGAGAGGAACCTCGAGAAGATGAAAGCCCAAAAAGGTATTCTTTCTTTATATCCTTTTGTTTCTGACACCAATTTCATAGTTTTATCTTTCATCCACATACTGTTCTTCTTAAATCATCTGATCCGTCGGTCAATTAGCCTGATATTAGCTTTGGTTTAATCCGATTCGATCCCGTTGTTGGAATTCAATGTAGCTGAGAGAGCCCTTATTGTTTTTATGCTGAGCTGTGATTTTGCGTAAATTCTTAAAGCTTTGGCTTTTTATTAACTCTCGAAATCGTTGGATCTACGCAGGAAGCCAACTTGAAAAGAACAAGCAGGCCATGAACATCCAGGTAAGACCTTTTTGTTTCCACAATTTTCGTAAATTCCACCTATGTGATGCATAAATGGTCTCAAGCTCGGAGGATTATGGTAGGATGAAAATCAGGGAAATAATAGTCTGACCACAATGAATAGACCTTGATAGATCAGGACAGGTAGGATTTTTCATATAGCGCGCACCAACTAATTTGGATTGACGCATAGTTAATTATTGACTAGACTTGATAAAGGTTAATTTGAAACGCGGGTTTATGTTGCTTATTTGAACATCAAACGGGCTTATTCCTTCAATTCGGTGATAAAATTGGTAGGTAATGCCTTTTCACTTAATGACCAACATACTAAGCCCTGTCTTTCTAGGTAAGAAGTAGATGAAAAATAGAAAGCACGGATCCTTTAATATTGAAATTATCTCGATCACGTAGGCCATTAAAAGGATAGAATGATGAAGGCAAGAACCAAATCAGCACTTGGATGCCACCTATAATTCTTTTGTTTCTTTCATTATTTGTTTGGGTTAGTAGTGTCATAGTTTTGAACTTAAATTTCCGTTGTATGTGTTAAAAATACTTCTCTTTATTTCATAAACATCTTATTGACAATCCAACAACGACAACACTCAACAATGTGTTAAACTGTGTAATCTCCGTTAAATGTTGAAATTTGGCTCATTGAGCATGTGTACTGTTTAGTCCACAGTTTTTACTTGCTACGTGGTTCACGCTCCTGTCTTGTACTAAAAATTCGAGGACGCAATTAGAGAATTTGCTTCTATTTTATTTGCTCATAAAGTGATAGTGGCTTCCCACCTTTTGATGTCTTATTTGGGTGTCTTTTGTCTTTCCCTTTTCTTTTTCCATCTTTAAGGCTATGTTCCATAACATTGGCATTTCTACATTTTTGCCAGAAAACGCTCTTAGGAGGATTTGGTGTTGTAATATCATTATGATTCCTTCAACATGAGATAGCTTAGGTAGAGTTTTCCGGTTGAGTTGTAACTACAATCCTTCAGAGTCTATGCTCATCAGTGTCTGGAATGATTCATACAATTTATAGAGTGACTCATCTCGTTCACTATATGTGGTTGTTCTTTTCAGCCTCTGAAAAATTCTTTAGTGTATTTGGATTTGGTTTGATTGCTATTGTTTAATAATTCCTTTTATCCTTGACTAACTTGTTTATGCTGTTATGATTGATGGCAGTGCAAGGTATGTATGCAGACATTTATGTGCACAACGTCAGAGGTGAAGTGCAAGGAACATGCCGAGGCCAAACATCCAAAATCTGACCTCTATACCTGTTTCCCTCATCTCAAAAAATAACCTTAGACGTCAAACATTCTTATAGAAAATGTTGGTATTATCTCCTGTCACTAGTCGCAAAAGTGTCGACCCAAGCAAGATGTGAATTGTGTGTATCTGTGAACTTGTTTGTGAGACTGGCAAGTTGTGTTAGTGGATGGTTTTAATTCTGATTTGTGTAAATAATTGGGATATAGTTGACTAAGATGATTTCTTATGCTAGGTATTAGTAGTAGGGAAATAATTGACTATAACCCGCACGTAAACAACTCATGGGCAAATTTTGAGCTCCGCACTCTACTCCTTAATTAATAATACGGAAAAAGATCAAAGCTACCCTCAAACTATTCGATTTGGTACAAATATATCCTATGTTCACCTATTGAGCCAAAAATACCCCTATAATTATTTTGCTGGCTCACTTATGTCCCTACGACTAACGGTCAATGCCAAATAAAAAAAAATTTATTTAAATTACATGTGGCAAATTTTTATTGGTCCAATTTTAAACTATGACCCCAATTAAATAAATTCACCCTTAACCCATTTTTTTACCCAACCTCAAAATCCGACCCACCTAAAAATATAGCCAAATTCTTGATTGTGAAACATATTAACTTCTCCATCTTTTCAACTCTATCATCACCGTAGTTGCCACTACCCCCTTTCCTTCGTAACAACCACGTAGCCACTACAACCATGATTCTCATGTTTGCTCCATCCCTCCATTTTCGAACAATAACAACGAGAATATTATGTTAATCGAAAGGTCCGATTAGAAAAAATTTATTTTATTTCGATTTGATGTCCTTTCTTTGTTGTAAAATTAGGATTTTGTTCAAGGAGTACCTAGGCCATAAAATTTTTATTTTTTACAATAAATTACCATTGAGGTCTAACAACATATTAAGAGTTTGCAAAATTTACAAAAATTGTGAAGAAAAAACTGGATTCCGGAATTTAAAGCTCATAAATTCATAATATGTTCTTTGATTATCTTATGTGACGAGAAAGAAAAAAAGATTTACCTATGTAAGTGATATTTGAATGTGAAAATTAGGGTCTTATGACGAACATTTTCGAAAAAAGACAGCACCAATGATAAATGTAAAATGAAGAAGATGATAAAACTATGAAAAATGACCAAAACTGCCCCTAGACTAAAAATGTGGTGGCAACTATGATGGTGGTAGAATTGGAAAGATGGAGAAGTTAATTTTTTTGACAATCAAGAGTTTGGCCATTTTTTAAGGCGGGTCGGATTTTTGGGCTGGGTAAAAAAATGGATTAAGGGTAGGTTTGTTTAATTGGGGTCATGGTTTAAAATTAGACCAATAAAAAGTTGTCACGTGTAATTTAAGTAAATTTTTTTTTATTTGGCATTGAACATTAGTCGTAGGGGCATAAGTGAACCAGAAAGATAACGGTGGGGGCATTTTTGCTTCAATAGGTGGACGGAGGGCATATTTGTACCAAATCGAATAGTCTAAGGACAATTTTGGCCCTTTTTACATGGAATATAATTCATGGAATGAATAATGTTCTAATATCAACTTTAATCTTTTAATGTTTGATCACTAATGATTTCTAATAAGATACCCGGAGTGTAATGTAGTAAAATTTAGAATATCAATTAATTTCGAATATTAATAATTGTACTTTTAGACTAGAGATAGAAGTAACAAAAGATTTCCTCAGTGACAATAATTCTCTGCTGGCATTAGATTTGGTTAAACGTGGGCAGCAAACTTCAAAGCTAATTAAATACCAAACTTCAACGCTGATTCTTTTAATTTAATTCATGGGTATCTGTTAGTAATGGGTATTTGTTGGTCCTGCAAAAAAGATTTAATATGGCTAATAGTTATTGTGCGACTTCCTAAATATTAAACATGATAGGTGAATTTGTTACCGAAATTTAATTTGTTGAATGACTGCAAACATATTTGTTTCAAATTTGGTAATTGTGTCTAATATTTATAGAACCAATGTCACCAAATCGCATAAAACGAAACCAGGTGAAAAAAACGCAATATAGTATTGGTATAACATCTTAAAACCGACTGTATTAAACCAACCAATGAATACCCCTACGCGGAAAGGGAAATTCTGAAAATAAAATTCTGTATTTCCCCAAATTCGGTAGATGTTAATACTCGAGTTCAACTACGAGTTTCCACAAATGTTACTTAACAAGGATTCAAATGGTACATCACGCCATAGTTTTCTTTCTTCCCATTGACAGCAAGCAAGACAAGAAAGCTACTGTGTCCTCATCCTGCTAGTTTCTGCAGCCCTCACTTGCAAGAAATATGGATGGGCCTAAAAAGAGCGCAGAGAAAAAAGTTAGTAGGTTACGCAACCTGATGCTTATGGAAAGTTGAATATTAAAGATCTTGCATTACCACCTTGCTACCGTCACAAAAAAGGAAAAAACATAGCCAAGAACAGAAAGAAAGAGCGAAACGCACTTCATAATCACCACCTTGCTACCCTCACTAATCTGTTTCTTGGATCTCATTTATACTCCTAACACTTGGGTATCAGTAACGTATGTTTTAAAATGTCCAGAAAATCGTTCCTTTTACAGGTTTAAGAAATTGTTCCCAAAAGCATTTCTTTAATAAGTTATAATTGGAGAATAAGAAGAAGTTATTATTGGGGTCTTGTACTGGAAAGGGTCATAGAAGACAGAAACCGAGGAAAAATAAAGATGAAGCCCAGAATTTAAAACTCCAAAAGAGTGGCTAAAAAGGATTACCATTGCTTCTTTTGCTGTAAGTCTAGACTGATGATCATAACGAAGAAGCTTGTCAAGAAAATCTATAGCCTGCAATTAAAGATCAAAATCATTTGTCAAATGGATAGTGAAGACTCATACAGCTGCTTAGGCGTAGCTGTCATCCCTGTCGGTTTCATCTTATTCAGACAAACTTACCATAGCTATATATATATATATATATATATATATATATAAAATACTCATTTTATGTGACGGTGTTTAGCTGGGCAGAGTTAAAGAAAAACGAAAGACTTTTGAAACTTGTGGTCTAAAACAAGCCATAGAGAATTGTGTGGCTATAAATCATTTCATTAATGATAAAATAGGAAGTTTAAAGTTAAATTGTTACGAAATATAGAAGGGTGACAATGTTTTTGGGAATGACTAAAAAGGATAGTGTCACAAAATTGGGACGGAGTCTCTGTGTGTGTATATATAGAGAGAGGAGAAGCAATACCTCTGGTGACACTAGATGCTGATTGTCTGCATTAATAAATTTGGACCATGGCTTCCNCTCTTTGGCCAAGAATCACACTTATCTTTATTCTCAAATTTTTTCTATTTTTTCTATTTATGTGCTACATTAAAGTATCCAAAAATCACTTCTTAATTAAATTCTCTAATTGCACCTCCTCCCTTACTCTTCCTTCTCTTTTCCATTTAGAAAGCCCAAAAGACTATCATTACTTCAGTGATCAATTTATGCAATGAATATCATAAAAATAGGGCTATAAGAATATTGTGGGCTTCTTCAACAGCCAACGCATCTGCCAATCTAGGGACCAATCTTGCCCCCTCCTTTTTCAGCTCTTTACAGGTGCTTTTCAACTGATAATTTAGAAGCTTGATAAATCACTTTGTATTAGATTGGTAATTATTCACTTCATTGTATTGTTATTCGAATTCTTACTTGCACATTTTATGAGGAGAGGGTTAAGTGGAGTAAGTAGCTTCTTCGCATGCATGAATGAGCTACACGTGTGAGTGAAAGAGTGCAGTGCCCGCGGTTGGCATCACCGATGCATGCTCAGGTTCGTCTTCTACTTTATATAAGGCTCACATGTTATTTTTCGAATGAAATACTTTTTATGAGCTTAATATCTGAGGTTGATTCTCATATGAGTTCTAACATATTAAGCTATGAATAAGCTTGCTTTACTATAGACTATGAGAGGGTAATTCGATATCCATTAAAATATATTTTTTTCTTTTTCGTTTTTGATTATTATTTTATTTGTGATCTTGGATATATCTGACTAAAGTTTCTATTTGCCAGTCTCTTTGGTTGTTTGATTAGGCCCCAGAAATGTGATTCTAGCTCTGCATATTCTTTACATGATCCTATGAATTATTGTTCTTTATTTTACACTGCTCCTATAATTGTTTAGTATTTAATAGTACGATTTATGTTGATATACAATATATTATGTAGTTGTTTTATAACACGGGTTGGTTCTTTTTATATTCCTAAATCCTAACCGTTTATTCTCTAAATAATTTATTTATTTTCATACTTCTAATTATTTGGATTCTTTTCGTAATCCAATTGAATTGGATAATTAATGAGAATGTAGTTCAATAATTCTTATGTTTCTTCTTTTCTATATTTTGGTATAGTTGAACCCGGCAATTTCACTTTCAGTAGCTTTTTTTTTTTACTTAATAGAGAATTTACATATGTAGTAAAGAGGTTGGTAAAGGAAATTAACACAAGGGATCACTGCGAATTGTCCTGTAAGATGGCCTTCAAATTGTAGTTCTTTTCTTTTGATAAGTCTATATTACAATTCTTTTTAATTTAGCTGTACTCGGCTGGTTTTGTACGTAAAAATATATTGTAAAACACTTATTTGCGTTAAGAAAAAGAAATAAATGTACAAACTCCCTCATTTCTTAGTATTTTTATTGCATATGTTTTATATTTTGTGTGTGTGTGTATATATATACATAATCAGTGTATATACTTGTGATTTTGAACAGCACTTGTAATAATTTTCGGCGCATGGGCTAAAAATGAATAGCCCTAAATTTATTGCGGCCATTCGTTATAACTCCGTAACTATTTGTATGCAATTTTAGTACTTAAAGATACCCTTTACATAACTACTATATTTTGATAATTTTAGGAAGCTGTAATTATGAAAGATTAATAAGGTTTGGTTCCACTTCAATTTGTCATGCCAAATACGCGTCCAATAAACTCACAAATATTGCGGGCATGCAACAACATTTGGGTTGTAGATAGTTATCACTTGTACTTTTATTCTCGCTCTCTAAGATATCACTTTTATTTTCTTGGATGTACCTCCCACCTCATTAATGATAAATTTAATGTGCTATCTTGATTTTCAAAGGCTCTAATAATCTTTCCAAAGAAGAATTAGTTTAGGTACATAGCAACAGTGTAACTTCTATGTACTTCT